AGAAGAATAAAGAATAGAATAGAAGAATAAAGAATAGAATAGAAGAAGAAAGAATAGAAGAAAGAATAGAATAGAAGAAGAAAGAATAGAATAGAAGAAAGAATAGAATAGAAGAAGAAAGAATAGAATAGAAGAAGAAAGAATAAAAGAAAGAATAGAATAGAAGAAAGAGTAGAAGAAAGAATAGAATTTAACAGAATACAGAATAGAATAGAATAGAATAGAATAGAATAGAATAGAATAGAATAGAATAGAATAGAATAACAGTTGGAAGGGACCTTGGAGGTCTTCTAGTCCAACCTTCTGCTTAGGCAGGAAATCCTACACCACTTCAAACAAATGGTTGTCCAATGATGGTGATTGGCCCAAAGTCAGGCAGGTGGCTTTCACGCCTAAGGCGGGACTAGAACTCAGTGTCTCCTGGTGACTGATCCAGTCACCTAACCGGCTTTCATGACTAAAGCGGGACTAGAACTCACCGTCTCCTGGTGATTGGCCCAAAGTCACCCCCCGACGGCTTTCATGCCTAAGGCGGGACTAGAATTCAGAATGAATCTCAGGTGGGTGCAAATACGTAACGGTGCGCTTTGAAAAAGGGCCCGCTGGACTGGCTGGCATTCTGGGCTCCGGAGCTTTTATTCCTAACCCGCGAAGCCCTGCCCCCACAGATGTGTCCCAACCAGGACCCAACTTACTTGTAGGTCTGTAATGGGCCTGGGGGATTCTGCTCCCCATCTGCCTCCTGCCAGGACTTCTGGGTCGTGGCCCCCTTCTTTGAGAGGGCCAGTGTGTTAACGGTGGGGCACAGCCACCTCGAGGGGCGCCTGCTGGAGATGGAGACATGGAAGGAAGAAGGGTCTTCATTCATTGCTAATATTATTAATTTCTTTCAGAAAGTGCCCCACGTATCAAAATGTCCGATGGGAATTACAGCCTTAAAGGGTAGGGGGAACCCCCCCCCCCCCGAAAAAATGCAGTAACCAATATGTATCCCTCTGAATTTTAAATTTAATTTATTTAAAAAGAAGAATCACATTTCGGAATTCTCCCGCTCGGATTGCCCAAGCTGCTAGTCCTTAGCGAGGCCACCTCCAGACAGGCAAGGGAAGCCGTGCCCTTCCCTCCCCCCCACCCCACTAACCTGCTTTCCAGCTCCATTCTCCCATGCAGGGCAACCAAAGGAGACCCAGCCAATCAGCTGGGACCCAGGAGGCGGAGAATCGACGTGGGCGGGGCCAGTCAGAGGCGGTAATTGGCCAGTTCTCCAAAACGACTCAACGTTTCCGCTACCGGTTCTTCAGAACCGGCTGAATCCCACCCCTGGGTGCAAACGTCCGCGCCCTCCCGCCGCCTACCTGGACCGGGGTAGATCCAAATCCATCTCGCTCAGCGTCCCAGGAGAATTGGCTCCAAACAGCCAGCCCAGCCACCTTTCGTTCCCGTTTCCAGCCTCCGATTTCTCCTCGCCCGCTGGGCTTCCTTCCAGGTAGACTTCTCCTGCCTCAGGGGTCCCCATGGCGGCCTTGGGAAGGCCCCCCGCGGCTGACGAGTTTTCCTCCTTGCCCGCCGGGGACGGTTGTTCTACCTTGGAGTCCTTTCTCCCAAGTTTGGGGAATTCTTCGGCGTCGGTCCCGGTTTCTCCGGCGGCAGCCCGGTTCTCCTTCGTGGCGACCCATAGCTTGGTCCACTGGGGCTTCCACCTGCCCGGCGGCTGGGCTGGACTCTCCTCTTGCCCCGGTTGGGCCCAAACTGGTCTCGCATTCCCACGGAGGGTGCTGGCCAGCCGTTCTTTCCAGCCCAGGAGTCTCTGAGGCAGAAGCCATTCCTGAAAGGGGCTGGCCGGAACCAAGAACCCATCTTCCAAACCATCCAAAGGAACCGGAGGTCCGGATAATTCCGGCGGGCTCAAACCGGGCCTCTCCCAACGACCGGACTCCGGTTCGGGGGACGGGGTGCTTCGCGGGATCATCGGCCGGACGGGCATGTGGCGGTGTTCGAAGAGCAGGTCCAGTTGGAAGGTGAGGACGGAAAGGGGTTGTAGTAGGAGAAGCAGCTCTTCAGCCCAACGGTGGCAGAACCGCTGGCTCAGCAGGAGGAAGGCGGTGGGCAGGTAGAGGGAGGAGACCAGCTCTGGGGGGTTTTTTGGGGGGGTGGGGGAGAGAAATGGCAAAAAACAGGTCAGAAACACGAGAATCTTAAAAGGGAGAATGAGATGGTTCAGTGCAGGGAGGGCGAAATGCAGAGAAGTCAGCAAAGGTGGGGTTTGAATTGAGGTCAAGGTGCTAGTCCACTGGGTCTCAACCTTGTCAGTTTGAAGAGAGGTTGAACTTCAGCTCCCAGAATTCCCCGAGCGGCTTGTGTTAAGACAAGTAGATTTCACCTCCCAGAATTCCCCAGCCAGCATGGGTGGACTTCAACTCCCAGAATCCTCCAGCCAGTTTTCTTTAAGAGGGGTGGACTTCAACTCCCAGAATTCCCCAACCAGCATCATGGTGAGAAGCCGTATTGGCCGCGAAGGCGTCAGTTTCCACATTTAAGACGGTAAACGTGGCTCACAATCACCCCCGACACACCAAACCTCTTTTAAAAGGAGGAAAGGGTGCTCAGAGGGAAAGAACCGTTTGATAGAGGAAGGAAGGAAGGAAGGAAGGAAGGAAGGAAGGAAGGAAGGAAGGAAGGAAGGAAGGAAGGAAGGAAGGAAGGAAGGAAGGAAGAAGGGAGGGAGGAAAAAGGAGGGAGGGAGGGAGGAAAAAGGAGGGAGGGAGGGAGGGAGGGAGGAAGGGAGGAAGGAAAAAGGGAGGGAAGAAGGAAGGAAGGAAAGGAAAGGAAAGGAAAGGAAAGGAAAGGAAAGGAAAGGAAAGGAAGGAAAAAGGAGGAAGGAAGGGAGGAAGGAAGGAAAAAGGAGGGAGGGAGGGAGGAAGGAATGAAGGAATGAAGGAAGGAAGGAAGGAAGGAAGGAAAGAGGGAGGGAGGAAGGAAGGAAAGGAAAGGAAAAAGGAGGGAGGGAGGGAGGAAGGAAGGGAGGAAAGGAGGGAGGGAGGGAGGAAGGAAGGAAGGAAGGAAAAGGAGGGAGGGAGGAAGGAAGAAAGGAAGGAAAGGAAAGGAAAGGAAAGGAAAGGAAAGGAAAGGAAAGGAAAGGAAAGGAAAGGAAAGGAAGGAAAAAGGAGGGAGGGAGGGAGGGAAGGAGGAAGGAAGGAAGGAAGGAAAAAGGGAGGAAGTGAGGGAGGAAGGAAGGAAGGAAAAAGGAGGGAGGAAGGAAGGGAGGAAGGAAGGAAGGAAAGAAGGAGGGAGGAAGGAAGGAAGAAAGGAAAAA